TTCTTGCCGTTTCCTCCTCTTTGAAGCGAACCTACGTTTCAAATATCCCTTTGGTTTTTACGACGCCAGCGAGAGCGCGCGACAGTGTAACGTGAAACTGGCTCTACTCGCTTACATACGCACGTACGCGGCTAGATTCCCCCCCCCTCCCCACCTACACACACACAAATGTGTTCCGGCGACCGCGGAATCAACTACGGGAACGTGGGAGCAGCACGAACGACAAATTCCGCCGACGAGAACGCGCGCGGAAACGCCCGGACGCGGCACATGTCGCGAGTTTCGTGCGCGATTTTCACTCTCACCCTCATCCCTCTCTCTCTCTCTCTCTCTCTCTCTCTCTCTCTCTCTCTCTCTCTTTCTCTTCTCATCTACGAAACGTAGGCACTGTGACGGCCGACAAGCAGACGAACTCGGCGAAGCTAACAGCAGACATCCGACTGGCCGCCGCGCTACCCCCGTCGGCGGAGGAGGAAGGATACGATAGAGAAAGGACGAGAGGACTGACGGAGATGTGAAGGGACGATCGAAGAGGAAGACAAGTAGGAGGAGGAGGAGGGAAGGCCGAGGGAAAGAAGGAACGAGCGAGGAAAGCGGAGGAACCTGAGGCATTATCCGACCCTCGCTCCCCTTGCCGCCCTTGCACACCCTTCTTCGCGCTACTCCACTAGACCACTCAAGGTACTTCTCGTGCCTCCCTCTCTTTACCTTTCTCGTTCCTCTTCGACCTTGTTTCTCGCACCGTTGCTCTCTCTCTCTCTCTCTCTCTCTCTCTTCTCTCCCTCCCTCCCTCCCGCCCTCTCTCTGTCTCTCTACCCCGCGCGCTTCGCGCGTTCCGCCGAATAGGAACTCGATTCCGCTTCTGCCACGCACGCACCGCCGAGGCCGCCGTTGATCCTTTGTCCGAGCTAATTTCACCAAATGGATCGGAATCACATGTTGCGTTTTTTGTATCGCGACGTTGTCAGCCGGACAACGGAATCTCGATCGCTCGAGTTAACTTCGTTTAGGCTCGATGAGCGCGCACTGTACACGCTTCATCGATGCCGACGATTTGGGATAAATGCGCGACGACGTATTGCGGTCATTTTTTTCCTTCTATTTATCTCTCTCTCTCTCATCGTTGGCCTCGCAGCGGCGAAGGAGGAGCGGAACACAACCCCATTCGCAATGTTACGCGCGTGTTTCATCAACGATTCACAGCCCTCTTTCATTAAGAACGTTAATGACGGTGACCGTCGTCGTAACCGGACGGGCGGCGGCCGGCTGGCCGGCGACCGCCGGCACCACCGCAGTTGCGAGATCTCTCACACAGAGAGAGAGAGAGAGAGAGAGAGAGAGAGAGAGAGGCGGGTAAATTTAGGCGTAATTAAATACGCGTATCGTCCTTGATATTATTAAAGTTACAATGCCGAAGTGTATTTAATTAACTTCCGATATTGGCGCCGGTGCGCGATCGCATGCGCGCCTAACGGACGGATCAATTTACGTCGAATTTATTGTGCACCGTTGTTGCTCGCTGTATTTATAATTCAACGCTACATCGAGTTAATATTAAATATCGAATTAGTGCGTCCAATCAGCCGCGAGGCGGAGCGCTTTGTTGGAAATTTATAGAAATTACCAATATTTTTGTGTTTTAATAAAGGTCGTAGCGCGCGCGCGCGCGACGGACGGAATTTTATTCGTCCGCGCGTTCGCTAACACGGCCAATTTATCTGAAATTTATTTACACATCATCGAGCTGTGACTAAATATCGAACGTAAGTGCACCCTATTAACGTCGAATACCCGCGCAGCGAGCCAATTTATTAAACTGTGATGTATCCTGTTAAAAATTACACGAATTCTCGCGCGGTCTCGGCACTGTGGCGTAATCAGGAATTCGTAATGTAACGAAATATATAATAATGATTCGACCGAAATGAAGTTGATTCTGTCCGACGTAGCCCGATTTTAATTCCGCCGTCCGCCTCGACGTTATTACTTTCCTGCGTGCGGATTAATTTTGCACTTGACGACTAGTTACATTATTATAATTCATTACAATGCACTATATGTGCGTAAAAATGAACCTAGTAATTAGTGGACGTGATGCATTACGCGTAACTTTATTTACATTTCATAACGAACTTGCACGACAGAAATAAGAAAAATAATATTCTGTATACGTGCAACGGAAAAAGAAGAAAGGAAGAGAGAGAGAAAGAGAGAGAGAGAGAGAGAGAGCGCACAAAGAGAGAGAAAGCGCGAGGCAAATCGACGGGGGAAATATATCTTCGATGCCGACTAATTTTGTTCTCCCTCCCTCCCACCCTAAATTAAAGGTCGTCCCGACTTTCCGCCGAAGCTTTCCGACAAAACGGCCGAAATTAGAATAACACGCGCGCGTTCGGCGGCCGAGCTAATTACGCACGATATCGGGAATAAAACTGCGCCCATTTGTCGCGCCCTTTTACTACGGGATCACGTGTCACGGGGCCATAATGCGGCGAGCGCGCCGACCACGATTACGGGGGCCGCTTCCACGAATTTGTAAACACGTACGATTTTAATCGATGTCTAGCAAATAAAGATAGGAGTGAGGAAAGTGCCGTCGTCCGTTCGAGCCGCTCACGCACAGCCTTGCCTTTACGAGCCCAAACGATCGCCGGGCTTACTAACCCCGTTTATTGCACGTGAAACCCTGAAAGTAGTTGCGCCTCTATAACTCACACGCGGCTATTATTGCCGCAACTATCACGGGTACGTTACCTCGTCGCGACAGTTAACACACAGGAGAACTGGACTGCAGGCGGAGAGGGAATAATAATCAAAGGAAGATATTTTTTCGCGGCCACCGTGCGGAATATTTTAACGCGCGCACGTGCGACGCGAAATTATAAATATCTTCCTCGCGAAATCATGCAATGCCATTTTTCTAGTAATATGGGATATTCAGAGGACGAATATTTTATATTATTCCCTTAAAAATGCAGCGGTACTTTGTTCGCGTTTCGCATATTACTGGAAATATTATATACATTTTTCGGACGAGTTGCGAGAGAGAGAGAGAGAGAGAGAGAGAGAGAGAGAGAGAGAGAGAGGGAGAGAGAGAGAGAGAGAGAGAGAGAGAGAGAGAGAGAGAGAGAGAGAGAGAGAGAGACAGGAGGAGGAGAAAGAGAGCACCATTTATTATGCGCTTTGGGACATGTCCTCTCGAGCGTCGAAAAATTAATTAATACAAAATACAAAATTCTATACGTCGAATGAACGGCAAGAGGCAAACGCAATCAGGTCCTCGTATTGTTAAATTGACATTTAATGTTAATATAACTATAAATGTTGGAGTGTCAGAGAGAGAGAGAGAGAGAGAGAGAGAGAGAGAGAGAGATAGATCCAAGACCAATAAAGTTACAGAGAGCCTCTCAGGCATCAAACAACGTCGCCGGCGCGCGCGAGATAGAAAGAGAGAGAGAGAGAGAGGGGGGAGGGAGGGGGAGAAGAAGAGAGGAAGGTACGGCGCAGTTGTTATTCCGCATTCGCGTCGGAAATTCGGCTAATTCGATGCGCGAACTCATACTGCGGAATCGACCGTAGCGCGCGGAATAGTAATATCGGGAGCGGTCTTCACCCCGTACAAGTAAGATCTAATGAAGCAATTCAACTGCAACCGCAGGCCCACTTCAAAGTTTTGAGAAACACCGTATTGTACTGCCAGTATATTACAAACTGCAACGGCGGCCATACCGACACACAGAGCGCCGCAGCGCAGAGCCCGGCTACTATATTTCGCGAACTATTAGGCTTCGAGCGATTGAACATGCGGCGCAATATGGAGTGGCCCGGCCTCGCCGAAAACACGAACACCCCTTCGTTCCCCTTCGTTCTCGTCCGAATGTCCCGCGACGCGCCCACGTGATAGCGTAATGCGATATCGGTCGGCCGGACTCGTCCGGCATTTTTATTCCGTGCGACGGACGTCCCGAGACAGAGTATTAAATATTATACACGTTGCACGAAAAATTCGACGCTCCGTCTGTCGCTCGGTCTGTCGCGGGGAAACGAGTTTTTTCATCTTCAAAAGAAAAACAATTCTCCCGCCGGCGCGGCGCGGCGCCGCGACGAGCGAGATTAAAACGGCAAGATTTTATTTCGGGGGAAAATGTATCTGCGCGAAATGGAAGTCTAATTTGAAGTATCGCCGAAAATATGAACCCTTTGCGCGCACGAATGTGGGCAATCTATGCGATGACATATCGCGCGGATGCCGGATTTTTATGAAAGATTTTTCGATATTTTTATTCGCGCGCGAAATACCGCTGGTATTAACGCAGAATGTTTTCTGTCGCTGGCGCTTGGCCCGCTTCGTACCTTCGCTCCGCGCGCTTCTACGGTGGGATTTAAGATTAAAACGAAAAGATCGCGTATTTTCGGGAGAAACGTGTTCCTCGAAACAAGATCGATTTACAGGTCGTCGTGACGAGCGCGCGATTTGCCGCGACCGCTGTGAGCGGCGCTATTTTTTGTCGACCCGTCCAAACGTTCGATCTGGAATGTCCATCTGGACGTTACGTCGCAATCAAATTCGCCAGCTGCCTGTCCAAGCGCAACTTTTTTCCAGCCCCCACACCCTCCGCGACAAACTTATTTTTACATTCACTCGACACAGCCGGCCCTGCGCCACCGTTCGACCTGCCGGCACCGTGAATCGCTCAATTGATTATCGCTCTTGCCAAGACCCAACAACCTCTTAGCTTTTTTGCTCAGTGCTTTTCAGCCAGATGTCACGATACGAAGCTCGATAGTCCCGAGAGAAGTTTCAACACCTCGTGAAGAGACGTCGCAGCCGGCGGTGAGGAGAATCGTGCCGGATGAACCTATGCGCTATGTACAAATCGGCATAAAACCGTCATCGAGGAATGCCAGGATAACGTATCGAGTGACAATTACCGGCCGCGAGAGCCGCCGGGGAGAGCCGCGCCGCCGTGAGATCGTACAACTACAGCAAAACTACTCACCCCATCCGCCTCGTTACATGCTCCGAATCCACTCTTGCGACTCGCAAGTTAGTCACGAGTTCCCGCGGGGGCGAAGGGCCGTGGGTGCGCGACTGGATCTCGAGGCTGCTCTCTCGTGCGTGTGCGTGCGCGCGTGCCGCCTCTTGTGTCCTTTCCCTCCTCTCCGCCTCCCTCTGTGAGAGAGCTCCGTCGGTGGCACAAAAATCCGTTTCACTCACCACACCGCCGCCGACTTTGCGTACATCCGAAAGTGAGCGAGCGCGCGCGCGCGCCCGCGCGCTCGCGTCTCTCTCTCTCTCTCTCTCTCTCTCTCACGCTTCGCGTCGTCGGCTCGCGCGTCCGCGAGCGACACTGGGTCGCGTCGTCCGTCTGGAGTGCGAACTTCGCGAGGAGAGAACCGACGCAGGAACCGACGTTCGTGCCGATGCTGCCGGCGAGCTCGGAGTACGAGCCGAGTGTGACGACGAGATCAGAACCGCGGCTCGCTACTGACTGCCGACGTCCTTCGATGTCGACGACGGCCGCGACCGCCGGCACGACCAACCCTTGCCTACGCGCCTGCGCGCCACCCCAGACGCGCCGCCACCCTCCGCTGTTTCCCCCTTCTTTCCCGTCACCGCCGCCGCCGCCGCCGCCATCCCCCTTCCATAGCCCCGCGGCCCCGCGACTCTTCGCCGCCCCTCGCCCGCCAATCACGACTGCTTTTACAATGCCTCGAAAAAGGTAGTGTCCGCAACAAAGGGCAGAGTGCCTTTTCCGGCGGTGTTTTTTTCCCAGAGAAGGATGCGCTCTTGCCAGTACGTGTCAAAGGCGGGAAATTTAAATGATAATGAAAGAGCGAGACGACGCGAGCTTGCGCACGCGGCAGCCGCAGATCGCCACTGCTTTGCGCGTTCCGCCGGCCGACCTTGCGTCACGTATCTCTTGTAAACGCGTAGAGACAGGAGGGAGGGGGCGGGGGGGGGGCTAGTTTTTCTATTTCGAGTCTTCCGCTTCTGGGTATCAGCGCGCACGTTGTCAACACATGCCTATTCCACATCAGTCGCAAGGTCGCGAGGTCGCGAGCAAATTGACCAATCACAGTTGATTGCTCCCCTTACGATCGAAGAATAATAGAATAATAGAATAATAGAATAATAATAGAATAATAGAACTATAGTCAATTTGCTACTTGCGACTAATGCAGAATAGACTCAAAGCAGCGTCGCGCCTCTCCCGGCAAAGAGAGTGCAGCCGGCTGCACAGAGAGAGGGACGAAGACGAGAGATACTACGGACTCGTCGAACGCCTCGGAGGTCCTTCGTCGCGACGGAGGCGAGCTTCCAGGAGAAACAATATACCGCCGGCGGCCTTCACGTACGCCTCACGCCGGCAATGAGACACGCGTCACTTGGCGCATAGGACGTACTTCTAAATGGTTTTCCGCGAGGATCTTCCTCCGGGCGAGCCGCCGGAAAAGCGGACTGGCGAGCGGCGCGACTCGTTGATTATGCAGACACGCGACGAGTTAACATAAATCCGTATACAGTATTATCGACAGTTTGATAGTAGTCTCCAGGTTGATAGCAGGAGCGATACTCCAGCCGCGGGTAATTAACGACACGGGTGGGCATTAATCAATCATGTAAATGCCATTAATGTCGAATCGGCCGACATTACGGAGGCCGTGCCTAAAGATTAAACACGCTGTTAATTTGGCCTTAACGTGCCCGGATTCGCAAGTGCTCCTGCAGCGCACAGACAATCCCCGACACGCGTCGCTCGTATTCCGTTTGAACGTCCCTCGTCTCGTATTTTTCACGACGGCGGACCACCGCGTTTCCGTCCGCGTTACTTCTCGGACGGCGCCGAGTCGAAATTTTCATCCCTTCGTCGACATCAATATTTCACCTAACGCTTTGAATCGACGAGCGGCAAATTCTGCGTTTTCTCCCCATTTATTATTACACCGAGCGCAAACAATTTCTTTGGTGTTTACGTAACTGCAGTGAAAGAAAAAGAAAAGTCCTTCCGCAGGACGTACACTTTTCCTATCTCCGTCCGTCAATGAGCGAAGTGCCACCACCACGCGACCACGCGAGAGCTTTCGCCTTGCGGAACCGGCCGCCTCGCCACTTGCTTAGGCTGCGCACGATTCGCTCGCGAATACGTGAGAATTCTCGCCTCCTGCACCTCCCCCCACCTCTCTCTCCCGCCCCCTCTCCCCCCTCTCTCCCTCTCTCGGGTGTACATCGAAATTATCGGCGTATATCGTTGGCGCGGCGGGTCGCGTGCGGGGGATGCATCGACGCGTCGGTGACCCAGATCGGAATTTATTAGAATACGGGGTATAAAGGTTACGGGGAGAAAAATGGACGAACGGGCGGAGGATCGTGTCTGGCCATAAGCAGCGATCTGAGATAGTGGGCGGACCGCAGACCGTAAGATATATCCACCTCGTATGCGTCGCGTACACCGGCTGTAGCCGAGGGCTCGTCTTGCCGGCGCGCGGCGCGGCGCAGCGCGCCGTCCGGGCGTTGCACACGAGGCCGCACGTGTTTGTACGTGGCCGGCGAGCTACGACGGGAGATAGTGAAATGTAGTGCACCGAGTGCGCAGCGACTATAGCGTAGTCGGACGCGCGCGTTGTCCGAATTATTCGCCGTCAGATAACTCGACGACTTAACGACATCCACGATATGATAGCTGAGCATAGCGCGAAACAGACCGAAAATCGCGCCGATAACGTCCGCGCTCGCGAGCACGCGCTCTCTCTCTCTCTCTCTCTCTCCCCCCCTCTTTCCCTCTTTCTTTCTCTCCTGCGCGCTGCTTCCGGTGACGCGGTTCTCATCCCGAGAAGCTAAAGTGTCGAAACTGGAGCAACTTCGAGGAAAGTGGGACATTTTGTACCGAGGCTCTCGGATATTCAGTCACCGAGGATTAACTTGTGCCGCGCGAGAACGTCGGTAGCGAATAAAAGGGAAGAAGAGAGGAATCATTCACCAGCAGCATCTTTGCGCGGCTCTTATTTACCGGAAAGTCACGCTACCGAAATCCGAAGGTCGGGACGAAAACGAAATGCGATCTTCCCACGGAGAAAAGTATTATTCCACTGCTGGGGGGGAGAGAGAGAGAGAGAGAGAGAGAGAGAGAAAGAGAAAAGCGATTACTCGGTTTACTTTCCTTCCTTCAGGTAATGATTACCTTCGACGAAAGGTATTTTCTTGATAATAGTCTTCAAATACTCATCGCAACCTTTGGGGAAGCTCATTACTCGCGTACTCGGGAGAAAAATTTATTCTCTCTTCGAGAATATTACAAAACGTGTACACTCTATGCAGGAGAAAAAAGCGGGCCTGACTTTTCTCTTTTCGGTTTAACTCATTCTTGTCTGAAGTATTGAGCTTTCTATTCGGCGATTCAGAAGCTCCCTTGTGAATAAGTTTCGACGGACTTGTGACGGATTTTCGGATGCGCAAACTTATGAAGCACTTGGAACGGGCAACGTTTACGCGAGAGTGTGTGTGTGTGTGTGTGTGTGTGTGCTCCGGCGTATACAATTTCTCCGAGGATGGAAGTATCGCTCCGAAAACAGTACACACGAGTGTACTAATATCTACTCGTCTCAATAGACTCCTGCTGTGCTCAAATGCATCTGGCTGCACCGTAAGACAGTTTCGATATCTCGGTAAAATTGTGTCTCGCGATACTGCCTCGGTGCGTTCGAGGCTTGCGGTATTATAACTTTTCGAGAAATTGTCCCCCTCCTTAAACCCAGATACACTTCTTTCGAGACGATGCATGTCCGCCCGATTTGTCGCGTATATACATTCTCTCTCTCTCTCTCTCTCTCTCCTCTCTCTCTCTCTCTCTCTCTCTCTTTCTCTCACGAGCGACAAAAACTCGCGGAATCGCGACGGTCGGCGAGTTCCAAGTAGTAACGGACGGTGCAGAGGCAGACGCGATTCCGAGTCGGACAAATCGATGACGTCTCTCGCTGACGGCTTTATTCGACGCGAGTAAATAACCGATGGCTTTTCTTTTCGAGAGCGACGCGTCGATGAGATACGCGGTACGCGCCGTCCCTCGCGATCGCGTTTAATTAAATTACAGCCCGTTGCTCTTCTCTATCAAGGATCGCACGCGGCGCGGCGCGGTATCACGTGATAACAGAAAGAGGCATACTGGTGACGCACTCGATATTAGCTATGCTAATTGAGCCTACGTGCCGAGCAAGTGCAAGCGCGACTCGATCGCGTACATACATTTGTAAGCCGGCGTTTAATTCCCCGTATAGATCCCACCGTCGCGATACCGTCGCGTCCCGCACCCAGCCGGTATAATTCAAACGCGTCCGGCGAAATGAGCTTTTTGTTGTTTCCTCTTCCCATCCTCTCCCCCCTACCTCCCTCTCTCTCTTTTTCACCCCCTCTCCTTTCTCCCCCCTCTCTCTCTCTCTCTCACTCTTTCTCTCTTCTTTTGCTCCGTTCTCTCTCCCAGCTTTTCTCCCCCTTTCACTCTCCCTCTCTCTCCCCCTTTTTTCTCTCTTTTCCTTTTATTTCATCTTTCATTTTTGCGGAACGCTAACGGTGCGGATCAATACGATGACGGGCTGTTTCCGCTTAAGCGGATTTTCACGGCGTTATTTTCACCGTACTCGCGAGCTGGTTAACTCGCTGCCGGTCCACGGTTTGCGGGGAGAGAAAGAAAGAGAGAGAGAAAGGAGGAGAGGGAGAGGGGGGGAGAGAGAGAGAGAGAGATGCACAGAATGCATGTGCTCAAAGCGCGTAGAAACAAGCCTGCAGACAGGCGGTCTCGTCTCCACCACCGCCACCATCCTCTCTCTAAACCCACCTCTGGCTTGCTCTTTTTCCCTCCCTACTGCTCCTTTGTCTCTCTTTGGTGCATAGGCTGCCGGTGATAGTGAGATCGGAGCTCGTCGCACACGCCCGTATATATACACGACACACACACACACACACACACACACGCACACACACGCACAAGCACACACATGCCACATAGGAAATGGGAAAACGAAATGAACCGTGAATAATTATGTATTACTTTTAATGCTTCACGGTTTACAGGAACGTGCCCACCGATGCCGGGGAAATATTAACGTCAAAGGTACTTCCTTCATTTTCTCCGGACGTATATCGCCGGTGTACGTACACCGCATCGCCATCGTCTCGAAGCCAAGGATCAAACGATACATGAGAGATTCGACGTATAACGACTTTTTTCTCCCTCCCTCTTTCTCTATTTCCTCCCTCCCCCTCCGCCCTCTCTCCTCCTCCTCTCTCTCTCTCTCTCTCTCTCTCTCTCTCTCTCTCTCTCTCCTTCTGCGCGAAGCGTTCCGCGCGCGTACGCGTACGATATAACGTGGAATATCGAGATAAAAATTCATCCGATCATTATAATTTAGCATACATTTACGTAGCGGAAAGAGCGCGCTCGTCCCGACAACCCGGTATACGTATAAACGTCCAAATTTATTTCGCATAAAAAAGAAAGGCCGCCGCAGGTGCGGCGAGGGAGAGGTCGTGCAATCC